ATATATATCTAAAACCAGAAATGTCATCTGGACCAGAGAAACTGGGCAATCCCAGTAGGTGTTTGTGGGCGCCCCTGTGCCCCAGATGCCTATCCGGGGCTCGAGGCTTGGCATAGCGTGTGCAAATCCAGCCAGGAGCTCGTGCAAAAGTTTCCAAAGGGATCCAGAGGAAGTACAAGCCCCAAGAAACATATTACTTGAGAAGACTACATTTTTAGGCTTTGGCACTATTAAAAACAAACAAAAACTCTCTGCGTTATACATAGGTATATTAAAGAACGGTAACAAATCTGAAAATATTTTAATATGTTGCTACAGCCCCTTCCATTGAACAAAGCCCCTATGTTTACTTCGTACTCTAACTCCTATTTCCATCTGGGTCCCACAATGGAAAGGATGAAAGTTAAGACTACAAATCCCATCAAGCTGTACTGGGAGCTATAGGCACAGCATGGTGTATGGGAAGCAGAGTTCTCCAGGGGCCCAGGCTTTCAGATGCTGGGCCAGGTGATCTCCAGAGAAAGTTTCTCAGAAGAGTGAATTCCACATAGCTGTAGAGTTGCCCTGTGAAACGAAGACCTGAGAAGTTATCTTGAAGCATCAAACTGGGATGTCCTACACAGTTCTGGGAAGAACTTTTAACCAGAGATGGGAATATGCTAATGCTGGATCCCAACTTCCATCAGGAAGAGTCAAAGGTGGTGGCGATCATAGTCTAACATCTGGATAGTCCCTGGTAGGCCACAGCACCCTGAGGCACAGTCCCAGCTACTTGAGAAGGCACCCAAATCAACTCCAAACCCATCTATGTGGAACTTGCTCCATCCCATCCAGGCCTTATCCAAGAAATCTCCTTTTTATAAACCTTTCTCCCCTACTTTCTGCTCAGTATTGTGACAGGTACAGCAGATACCCAAAGCAATAAGCGATGATGTCTAGCTGGGCCCTTATGCATTTGGGTACAATACGTTGCATCTCCCTAGTTCTTCTAGTGGTTCAGGCTGGTGACCCCTTCCAATCCTAATCTACACAAATGGATCCTTCTCACTCTACAAAGCCCAGCACCCCAACCCCTTGGTTCCCCCCACTGCCAAGCCTACTTCTGATAGCCACCGAGTTCCAGATCTGCTTCCAAGCAAAGTTCTTATGAGAGCCATTTGGGGACATGGCCTGAGAAGCAATGGAGACAAGGGGAACCTTCTGCAGAGGGTGCTGCAGAGTCTTCCTTGTTCTTGAAGCAAGAGAGGTTCTTTGAGGTTCTCGTTCACACCAAAGCGGGAAGAAAAGTCCCACTCCTTGCCCTGTTGCTCTTCTAGGAAGGGCAAAGGAACCTTAGACACACTGAGGCACACAAGATGAAGAGGCGGAAAGGAACGCAGGGATTCAGGTGTCCAAGGAAAGTATCTTCAAACAACATCTCTCCTTCTTCGTGAAGTTGATGGAGCAGCACCCCAAGGATGGTTCTGAGGGGATGGCTCTACCAACCACGCCATGGCTGATCTACAACCAAGCGAAGCTGCTGAAAGCCCCCTCCGCAGCTCTAGAAGTCGGAGTCAATGTCTAGCAATTCGGGGTCCATGAGGTTTGTCCTGGAATGGATGGGGGGCAACCCGCCCCACCTGCCCGGAGGGGGCTGTATTCCGTAGACATCACTGCCAACGAACAAAGCAGCTGAACTCCTGGGGGGAGGATGGAGGGAGGCCCCCCGAAAATGCGACGGCTGCTGTCCAGGGAACCGCCATGCGCTGCTTCCGGGTCCTCCTTCCTCCATGGCCCCAAGATCCGGGCAAAAGGGGTGGCTGACGAGATTCAGGGGGTTATTCTGCCTGCAGCTGGCCGCGGGCAGCTCCTGGGGCAGTCTGACAAGGGCGTGCTCTGGCTGCGGGGCTCTGGGTCTCCATTCGGGGGGAGCTCGAGGCGAAAGGACGTCATCCAGAGCCTGGGCTTGCCTCGGGCTGGCAATAAAACATTTAGTCTTGGGCAGCTGGGGCAGGCGTGGGATGGAGCTGGTGCCTCCTGGCACCAAGTAATCCGACTGGCAGGTCTCAGCTGCAGGCCCGGAGGGGCAAATCTCCTTCTTCTTCCGTCGCTTCTTTTTCTTCCGGCTCAGTTTCTTTGCCCGCCGGGGGGAGAACTCGGCCTCCATCAGCCACAGGCTGGCCCTTTCCTCGGGGGGCACTACAAAGGGACGGCAAGAGAACGGTCATTCCAGAGGGAAACTTTAGGATTCCTGGAGGATTGGCAGCCTTCGCATTGCTGCCTTCCTTCAGATCTGCTTTCTTCTATTTCGGGACATCAAGATGGGTTATACTGAAGCTTTGCATTTATCCTGATGTGCACTTTGCATTATATATTTATTTATTTGAATTCATTGGCCACCCAGCTCCATTGGAGTTGTCATTTCGTTGTAATTTTGTACAGGTAGTCCTCACTTAACAACCATTCATTTAGTGACCGTTCAAAGTTACAACAGTGCTGAACAAAGGAACTTACAATCGGTCCTCGCACTTACAACTATCGCAGCACCCCCGCAGTCATGTGATCGCAACCTGGATGCTTGGCAACCAGCTTGCACTTATGATGGTTGCAGCGTCCTGGGGTCATGTGATCGCCATTTGCGACCTTCCCAGCCAGCTTCTGGCAAGCAAACTCAATGGGGAACTGCATGTTTCTCCTACCGGCTGCAATGATTCACTTAATGACTGCTGCAAAAAGGTCATAAAATCAGGCACAACTCGCTTAACAACCGCCCTGCTAAACAATGAATTTTCCGGTCCCTGTTGTGGTTGTTAAGCAAGGACTACCTGTAATTTGCTCTTGTGTATTCGGTCATTCTCAGTCTGTCAGCTGCTCTGGATATTTTTCACAGAAAGGTAGCATGTAATAAACCTCAATAACAGTGGAACAAACTGTAGCAGGTCAGCTTTGCAGCGTAAGCAAAATGAAAAGAAAGCCCTCTGCTCATTTGAGGGTGCAGTCATCCCCCACTCTCTAGATGGGGCTGAAGGACCATTCCCAGCCACCAAAGCCAGCATGGCAAATGGGGAGAGCTGATGGGCATAGTAGTTTAGCAGTGGCACCTGGAGGACCAGTTTCTTTATCGCAGATACCCAGAAAGTGGGGCAGGGAACAGATAGGAAGAAAACGGCAGGGCTAGCTAACTTTGGCCGAAAAACGGAGTACCAACTTGAAAAGCACTTTGCCCCACACCTAACTTTATTTTGGGGAAATTGAAAAAGATACAGATCTGAGCAAATTTGAGAAATGCAAGCACATCCTTGGAGCCCAGGCAGGGACATCGGCCAGCTGTGTGTAGGGGTCAAAAGAGTCAAGATGGTGGCCATGACCAGGCAATCAATTCCCTGTCCCACTAGGGGCACCATCTTGACTTTTTTGACCCCCTAATGCCTCCGCTTAACTGAATATTTAGTTTGGGTGCTCATAATTAACACTTGCTTTATATAGTTGATTTAGTTCTTACCTCCGTTGACATGCAACTGAGCGTGGATTAAGAGACTGGTCAAATGCACTGGGACTACAACTCCCAGAATGCCCCAAATGGCCATCTTTCTATCCTGGCCAGGAATTCGGAAGTTGCAGCCCCAGCGCCTCTGAGAGGTCCACGCTGAAGACTTTCGGAAGGCAAGATTCAACAGAAGCCCCAATATGTGGGAAGGTGCCATCACTTGGAAAATACACCAGTGGGACATCCCCAGATATGACACACCTCTCTCTGGAGAAGGCTGAGGATGATGGGTCTTGATCTGAAGGCCTGTGACCACCAGGGCCTGGTATAAAAGCTCAAAATGACTAAGTTCCTTGATCTTTTTTTACATAGGGAGTAACTGTATACCTTGCATTTAATTAATGACATTTAATTTTCATTACATTCTGGTATAAAGCAAATCAAATCTAGTTTTTGTCCAGGCACTGCCTGCTTTGCAGAGACAAAACATCACACGCGCACGCACACACACCCTACATGGCACATTCTTGCCCTGTGACCTTCTCCAGGTGAGCACCGCCCTGAACAAAGACACAGCAACACCCCCCCTTCACCTGACTTCCCAGGGCAGGAGTAAGCTCTGGAGCTGGACTATCCATTTCCAGCCTCTGGCCAGCAGCTGGCAGCAGTGAGTCAGGGTGTAAGTGACACCGTCAGCTGGAATGCCACGTCGCCCAAAAGAGGCGCCTTCAAGAGGCCTCCGAGCTCTTCGACCCCCAGCCTGCCCTCCTGCCCTCCAACCTCCAGGAGAACCATTACCTGGTGTGGCTACAGGTGTGACAGAGACATCCTGAGAGAGGATGGCTCCCCTCCTGGCTACCATCTTGGTCACATGTTGCGCCCAAGCGGAGGACACGTCTCCCGAAGGTTCGTTGATATCAAACACCAGGCCAGCTGGAAAGAGAAGCCATTGCGTTTTCCTTCAACATCAACATTCAAGTTCACCTTAACTTGCTGCACGCAGGTCGATGGAAAAGAGTCTGACGCAAGACTAGTTTGTGATTTGGGCTGCAAGGCGGTGCTCTCTGGGTACCTCGACTGGGTCTCTTTGTCAAACGTGAGACAATAACAACAAAATAAATAGGAACATTACAAAAGGGGATGCGGACTTCAAAAGCCACTTCTACGATCGATAGAAATCATAATGCCATCTTGACTTTTTTGACCTCCCACAGCGTCCAGAGAAGTTGGACAGTGTACTTCAAAAGCTCTTAACGCAGGAGTTCTTGACCTGGGGGTGGGGATTTCAGGGGGGGGAAAAGATTACAACTTCATTCTCACTAACGTCTAACTAAATTTAGTTGATCATGTGACTGATTTAACCAATTAACAAACAAGCACATATAGGACTATTACATATTTGTTATTTTTTAATATTTTGATAACTGCCTTCCTTTGTAATACAGTCCATATCTACGTATTTTATTGTTTCTGCCTTTCAATCTTGTTCTCTAAGAAGGGGCCTGCAGGTTTCACCAGACCCCTAAACGGGGCCCTGGCACAAACATTGTTAAAGCCCCCCCCCCCCCGCTGTAAAAGATCAGTTTATATTACTGATAAACACGGCTGAACTAAAACCGAATCCCATTAAAAGATTTTTGGACGCTGAAAAATGGCAAGTAAAAGTGTTAGTTCAGAGTAGGGCCTTCTTGGTGTAGGCGCCCCGATTTTGGATCTCCAGGGAAAATTCAACCCTCCCCACAGGGTAGCCTTTTCGAAGACGAAGGCTTTGCAAGACGGGCAGCTATTCCGTGGCCAATTTACTTTTCATTGTATTTTAATTGTGGTTTGTGGCTTTGCTTGGTGGGGACATTTTAAACCCCAGCTTGCTGCTTCACTGCTTCGCCTGGGGTCGTTTTGGTCTTTCGGGGAAGACCGAGGGGCACACAAATAAAATAAATTAAAGACGACAAAGGAGGATTTTAATGCCACCAACTCCGGAAGGTGCCACATTCTTCAATGTGGCACCCAGCAATGACCTTGGGCCTCTAAGGCTAAGGGGCTGCTGGCTGAGGATGGGGGAGACACACCCCACGTATTTAGAGGGCCGCCGGCAGGAGAAGCAGAGCCAGCCCTGCCTCCGCGGGGGAGCAAGCCCCGCGTCCTCGATCCCCTTTCTCTGGGACGTACCGACAGGCCCCTCGTGCGAGACGGTGCGCAAACTGAAGGAGAGCTCCTGGTCAGGGTTGTGCTGCAGCTCCTTCCGCCTGGAGAAGGCCTTGGCAATCATCTTGCTCTTCTTGATCCGCTTGGGCTCGTTGCTGCTCTGGCCGGTCAGCCTGGAGGAGGAGAGGACGTCAGTGGACGCTGCCCCACCGCTGCCCCAGAGCCTTCGGGCAGAGGTTCAGGGCCGTGCCGGTTGGGTGGGGAGGGGAGTTTCCCACCTCGTAGGCTTGCTATTTTAAGCATCCCACCACCCTTCTGGTGGCCCCCCCCAGCAATCCGCAAACTGGCCCGGTGGGGTTATTTCCCCTCCCCTTTTTATGACCCCTTAAGACCAAATTGCAGAGCTTTGCAATGACTCCAGAACACAGCAGCTTTACAAATGGGGGGGGGGAAGAGCCCCATATAATACACCACCACGAGGTCCTGCCCTTCCCAGAGGTGCTTGAAGCCTCTCACATCCATGCCCTGCAGCAACGGGCGTTCGTGACACGCTCAGGATTCAGAATCCTGAGCGTGTCCTAGCTGCGGGGAATGGCAACTTGAAAGCAAAAGTTAACGCCCTGGGAATGTAAGCGATCTTAATTTTCAGAACCTTTCCCTTCCCTCGCTTGTGTTAAGGCAAGCCTTATAGAAAGTTTTCCTCCAGTACTGCTTTCCCCACCAGTCTTGTCACCAGGCCACCCTGCTCAGCTGCTTCCCTGGGAAGGAGGAGGAGAAGGAGAAGGAGAAATGGTGGTGGTGGTGGTGGTGGTGGTGGCAGAGGAGGAGGAAGAGGAGGAGAAATGGTGGTGGTGGTGGCAGAGGAGGAGGAGAAATGGTGATTGTGGTGGTGGTGGCAGAGGAGGAGGAAGAGGAGGAGGAATGGTGATTGTGGTGGTGGTGGTGGTGGCAGAGGAGGAGGAAGAGGAGGAGGAATGGTGGTGGTGGTGGAGGAGGAGGAGGAGGAATGGTGGTGGTGGTGGTGGCAGAGGAGGAGGAAGAGGAGGAGAAATGGTGGTGGTGGTGGCAGAGGAGGAGGAAGAGGAGGAGAAATGGTGATTGTGGTGGTGGTGGTAGAGGAGGAGGAGGAGGGGAGGAGGGGAAGGAGGAAGAGGGGCGAGGAGGAGGAGGGGGAGGAGGAGGAGGGGAGCCATCTCCTCCTTAGCACTTCCAGGCACTTGCATTGTGAGCACCAGATCGGCATTTCAGCAACTCAAAAAGAGACCCAATTTTGTCAGTGCAGTTCTGGCCGGGGTTTCTGAGATCACAGACCGTTCTGGGGCTGGCGGGCCCAGCACGCTGGGAAGACCGGGGCAACCCAATTTAAGTCATTCAGTGGTCCAAGTGTCCACTTGAGGCTTGCCTTCTGGGGCTTCTTCGCCTGGGGGCCTGTTAAAGCACTGCAGTGAAGGGTTTCTCGTTCTCGGATTTCACAACTGCGCAGTCCCACACTAAGAAAAGTTCCTGAAAGGCTGCACTCCACGGATCTCCACGGGGTGAGGTGAGAGCGAACAACAAAATGAATACAAGATCACAATGCAAACCCCACCCTTTGCACTTGCATCGCAATGAACACTCAAGCACCGAAGGGCCAAAGCTTGCATGTGAGGTCACAATGCAGGTTGTGTCATTCTGATGCAATCTCAGCTCCTCGCAAGCCCCCCCCCCGCAATGTTTGTGGACTGATCCATGTTTATCAGCCTTTCTATTCATGTGCAAAAAAGCTGGGATTGCCAGAAATTACCTAGTGCCATCTCCCTGCTGCCATCACATTTTACTTAATTTTTCACAACATACTATCCTTCCTTGTGACTCAGATGAGTTGAATAAAGTTTGCCAACTGCAAACTGCGAGAGTTCTGGAGCAGAATGTCGAAGATCTCTTTGGCACTTGGCAGAATAGCCTTCTGCTTCCTCCCACCTCCACCGGTAAGGCACCTCTGGGGACTTTGAGAACTTCTTAGCTCCCTTACTCAACCCCTGGGCTCCGCTGGTACTTCAACCAGGCCCTCCAAGGTGGAATCCCTCACGCATCCTCCTACCTGCACCAGGTGCGCTTCCAGATGAGAAGAGTAGCCTTGGTCCACACCCAGGTGCTCATTGAAATGCCCGTCCCAAACATGGCAAAGAGATTAATCTTCTCCACCAGCAGGCTGGGACGGTTCTTGATCTCACAGTCTGGGATCGGCTTGTTGGTCTGCGTGGCGATGGTCACGTTGGCCTCGCACCTGCAGCAGGTAAGAGGGAGGAGAAGTTGCAGAGGGAATGGGCTGAGGAACCCCACCTAATGAAGAGGAATACCAAAACGAACCATCAAAAGCCTGGTGATGCATCAGGTGATGCATCCGCTCTTCTAAACGCAGAGATCCTTGAGAAAGTGCATTCCGAGACCCAAATCGTTCCAAGATTCCAAATCGCTAAGAGTATTACGTGATTTGGGTTTGATGTTCCGTGGCTGCTTTGCATTTTAACTTTTGTAATGTTGGTAATCGTTTTTATTTTAATTCTGCTCGCCGCCCAGAGTCACTTGTGGAAAGGGCAGCTACATAAATTGGATAAATAAATAAGTAGACAAATAAATTGTCTCCAATGGGTAAGAGGGGCTCTGAAGTGGGAGGCATCTTCGGAATCTTAAAACTAGCCTGGCTCTTCACTGGAGAGGCATCTCCATAGAGATCCAGGCCCGAAGCCGTTTATGGCTAAAGATCAATTAAATCTCCTTTGAGGCAAGTTCAGTCCTTGGGCCCGGCAAGGAATTGGTAACCTTTTGCAAAACTTTAAGCACGGGGATCACATAACTCCTATGGCTTGGGGGCTGGATAACCACCTAACCCATTCATTCTGTATCAACTGCAACATCTGGATTGATTTCAGGGCACGCAGAGGGCACAACTACCAAGACAGGATGCAAGCAGACCCGAGATCCCCATCGCCAAATCGAATGGCTCAGGAAAAGTCACAACGGTTGCACCGGCTGGAAATGTGCGAAAGGACACCCCACAATTGCCAGCTACGAGCATGGTGACAGCGGAGGATCGAGACGCTTCCCAGACGGCAAATCTGGCTGTTCAGAAGTGCACCCTGCCCAAAGCCCAATCTCTAATTCACCAACGGCCCTTTTAGGCGGTCTGGATTAGTGCCCCCTCTGTCAGCCAGCCTCTGTAGGCTGAAAACTCTTTCTCTTGCACGAACGGAGAGAGGGGGAGAGAATACCTTTTTAAAGGAAGCATCTGCTTCTGTAGGGCGTGCATCCTGAAATGTGTGTCCTTGTTTATTTACAACAGTGTTTCTCAACCTTGGCCACTTTAAGCTGGGTGGGCTTCAACTCCCAGAATTCCCTAGC